CCATCATCAATCATCAATCATCATCAATCATCAATCATCAATCATCATCAATCATCAATCATCAATCATCATCAATCATCAATCATCAATCATCATCAATCATCAATCATCAATCATCATGGCAATCATCATCAATCATCAATCATCAATCATCAACCATCGATCAATTTCATCTATTTACAAAAATGGGCGAAACAACAAGAAACTAAAGTTTGCGGATTTTCACAGCAAGTATTTTTGTTGAAAACATTGAAAAAATTAAATTTGTTTGTTATATTTATAGATTGACTTGTCGGCGCTGTTCCAGCCGATCGACATCCCTCAATGTCGAAGGAGGAGGCTCGGATAAGAGGTTTGCTGAGGATTGGAACGAGGATTTAGAAAAAATGATCAGGTTAAATATTAATATTATTATTTTAAGTCAACTTGTCATTTCATGAAATTAGGGCTGACGCTTCTGATGTCCATTAATGTCTAACAATAATAAAAATAATAAAGCTTGACATTTTTTAGAAACGGTGTCACGTTATAAGGCCATGGGCGTTATATTTGGTCCGCTGGTGAGTGTTATACATGTGAAATCAAGTACAAAATTAATAGGATGAGGGAAGGGGGGGGGGGGGNAGGGCCCAAAAGGTTAAAGAGCACAAATATGTGAAGTACACTTGCAGTATGAAAACAGTACAACAAAATGGCGGTTTTACACTTTTTTCTAGTAAATTCCACTCTAATATATATTCTATTCTCTTTGTATGTAACACATGGATAGGGCAAGTCCTTAGCCTGTCCTAGCCGCAGCGCTCGGCCCAGAAATTGTCTTAACCTAACCTAACTCTAAAATAATAAAAATGAAAATAATTTTGCTGAAAAATAAGTAGTCATGTAGAAAATTGATAGGAAGGGTGGGGGGTCCATAAATCGTATACTAGGACAGACCCAAGAATTATGTTAACATAATGTTTTTCTCTGTTAAGCTACTGTTCTGATTATTGTATAACACTTATATTTTAAAGTGATATTAAAATAGTGTACAATTCCTTTTAGTTAAATTGGATTTATCAAATATTAGCTGTGATACAAATATTTTTCACACGGATTAAGTTTTCCTAGACAGATTTTTGGACACTCTCCTACCCTCGCCCCCCCACCCACCTCCTATCAATTTTGTACATGGATCTTAAATGTAAGACATGTGGCCGCAGCGCTCGGCCCCCTAGCCTGTCTTAGCCGCAGCGCTCGGCCCAGAAAGTGTCTTACCTTAACCTAACCAACCCTAAATAAATACTAATTTAATTGAAAATTGTTGAAAAAGTCCAAAAATCGCTCTCTAGGACAGACCCTTAAATAGATACTTTATTTATATTTGATTTTCAATGGAAGGGTCACATTTCCCTGGAAAAGTTTTTGACGGGATTCAATGCTAATAAATTCTGGTTTAGGTTTTGGGCTCCGGGAGAGTCGGAGAACCCTGAGGAGGACGAGGATGAGGGTGAGGACGATTACCAGTGTGTTGTCTACTTCTGGCAGGGCAGGGAGAGCTCCAACATGGGCTGGCTCACTTTTACCTTCTCCCTTCAGAAGAAGTTTGAAAGTCTCTTTGGAGAAATACAGGAAGTAAGAAGTTGTTTTTGTAATTCTTGATAATTTTTTAATTTTTGCAATTTAATTTCAAGAAAGGAAGTGAAAAAGTTTTCAGAGTGCAAGTTAATGAAAAAAAGAATAAAAAAAGTGAAATTTTAAAGTCCACAACTTAAATATATATTTTGTTATTTTCGTCAAATGTTCCAATAATCTAGGTTGTCAGGATGCATAAACAGCAGGAGAATCTAAAGTTTATGTCTCACTTCAACAATGGACTTCTCATCAAACAGGTAAAATTAGCCGCGGGTTTTTTCTTAACAAATATAATTGTTGTGTGTTTTTGGCCTGTTATAGAAAAGATTTGTGCTGGCTCAGTGAATAATGTTTGATGTTCAGGGATGTAGAATTGGGGTGCGCCGGCGCGAGACCATTTATTAATGTTTGATGTTCAGAAATGTAGAATTGGGGGTACGCCAGCGCGGGACCAGTTATTAATGTCTGATGTTTAGGGATGTAGAATGGGGGTGCGCGGGATCATTTAATAATGTCTGAAGTTCAGGGATGTAGAATGGGCGTGCGCGGGACCATTTAATAATGTCAGATGTTTAGGGATATAGAAAGGATGTGCGCGGGCCCATTTGATAATTTCTTATGTTTAGGGATGTAGAAAGGAGGTGCTCGGGCCCATTTGATAATTTCTTATGTTTAGGGATGTAGAAATGAGGTGCGAGGGCCCATTTAATTATTTCTTATGTTCAGGGATGTAGAAAGGAGGTGCGCGGGCCCGGCTGGAAACCCGAATCTGAGTTTTATCAGCTGAGATCTAATGGATCAAGTTTATACAGGAACCATTTTTATATTTTTATCTTACATGTTCGCTCTACGCACGTAACATCTGACAAATTAAAGATATTTTTTTTGCTTAAAGCTTTAATTAGAATTGATCGCTACGGAATTTTATTTTATTTTATTTAAGTTATCTTTCATAATTCAAATCGGTTCAGACGCTGCATCCAGCTGAAAACGGACTCCTCTCTGCTTAACTCCTTTTTCTCGTATATTCTGAAGGTTCCCTTCGATGCCGAGGATAAGAGTGGGATTGTTTACGTGTGGATAGGTGAGTTTCAATATTTACCCGTTTATAGTTCTTTTCTCAAATATCTTTCAGGGGTGTATATTTTCTTGAAAAATCATTTCCCCTCTTATTAAAAAATAATTTTCCCACTAGATGATAGGTATGTTTTTATGATTTAATTCGCTGAAATAGGGAAAATAAACTATTTTTATGAATTAATTTTAGTATCAAAAAGGAAACATAACCTTGCCTACGTCCAATGTTTTTCCCAGATCATCAAAAATCATTCTAATCCGAGGTAGACATTGTTGATTCTTTAAAACTTATTGCTTTGAAATTTTTTTCCATTGGAATACAATTGTAATAAACTTTTACTAAAATGTGTATATTGAGTTCCATGTATTATCAAGTATTTAAACAATTGTAAATATCTTTTTAAGACATTTGCGGGCAAGTAGATGAAAAGTTGAAAAAGATTTAATTTATAATTTTTCATCTTAATTTTTTTTAAATGAATACCCCTGCCAGGAACTTCATGAATATAAGTTCCTATTAGAAAGTGTGATCCTGACGAGGCCTTGATAGCTGAAAATGTTTGATTGATTTACTGATTGTTTATTTTTATTGGTTGATTTGATTTGATTGATTAGTACAGGAAGTAAATGTGATTCTGATAACCCTTGAAAGCTGAAGATGATTGATTGATGGATGGATGGATGGATTGATTGATTGATTGATACACAACATCCAAACTTTTTATAAAAAATGTAGTCATTCCTTGGATGTTAGGTATTCGAAAGCGGGGCATGGCTCAAATTTGGTCGCGTGGCTTGGCGCTTCGCACTTACAAAAAAAGAGTACATTAATCTTACATTCGGAAGGTCAGGGCTGAAAAACCAGGAATGGGGAGGACTTGAAACTCCGATCCACAACTGGACCCTACTTATGATTTGATTTGATTTGATTGATTGATGGATTGATTGATTGATTACAGGAAGTAAATGTGATCCTGATGAAGCCTTGATAGCTGAAGATATTGCAAACAATCTCTATGATCAGGAACACCTCTCTCTACAGGTTGAAAAAGAGTTCAATGTTGAAATATATTTAATTGTATTTAAAGTTGTAAACTTTTGAATAAGATAGAGTTTATCTTAAAGGGAACATAAGTTTAAATTTCCAGCAAACTTCCATTTAAAAACCTGAGAAGCATCGATTTAAAACGATACTCTCGAAACATTTCACCTGACCACTAACGTTTTTTAAATCTGATTATGCCTATATGTTTTCCTTCAGCTCAACCTCCTTGCCGGTCACTCCTTTTAAAAATTAACATTTATCAATCTAAAAGTTGATAACGATATCATATTTTACAATATAGGTGTTAAATGAGGGTGAGGAGCCTGATAACTATTTCTTGGCCGGGCTGGGGGATAAGAAGAGCTACGAGACCGAGGCAGAGTTCCTGAACTACTCCAGGCTCTTCCGCTGCTACAACGACAAGGGGTTCTTTACCGTGACGGAGAAGTGCTCCGACTTTTGTTAGGATGATCTGGCAGATGATATTATGATCTTGGGTTCAGGCGAACAGGTTTTCATGTGGATGGGTCCTAGGTGTAGCGAGGTTAGTTTTCAATCTTTCTCTTTGATTTTATAGTTACTGTCCTTGGATTTATCATTTGGATCGGATATCCTTTGTATCTTATCTTTTGTATCTTATGGGAAAAAAATCATTTTCTTCTTTTTGTTTCACATTATTCTGGGGACCACTGCAGTTAGTTTAAGTAAAGTTGTGTACAGGTGCTTCGCCTCCTGGTCAGTTTGTTGTTGATTGTGAAGTGTACAACAGTTTACCACACCTAGGACAGAACAAGAACCTCTATATTCTTCATAACAGGTTTGTGCTCGTATTGTTTTTTTTGTTGTTGTTGTTTTTTTTACTTTTAATAGAACTTCCAACATTTGATTTTTTGAAAACTGCACTCTGTTAAAATTTTCTTTTTATAAACCTGCTCAAAAAATGGAAAAAAGAGTTTTAATTGTGGAAAGTATGGCGTTTCTAAACCTCTGATTAATTAATTAATTGATTAATGATTACATACGTTTTTAGCATTAAACTTTTTTTTCAAGAGGCTTTACAGAAAGTATTTTTCTAACTAAGTGTGCTTATTCTACATTATAAAATAAGCCTTAAATCTTTCAAATCTTTTGTTAACAAACAATTATTGTTTCTTCGTTCAGATTTAAAATTGACTTGTTACATTCTACCAATTTAATAGTTTTCCAGCTCAGCTGTCATACTAATATTAACTATAGTGAGTACCCTGCCACTGTGTTCTCCGTGATCGAGTCCCAGAATAAGACCGTGAGCATCACCACCGACTCACTCTTCGACCTGCTCATGCTTAAACTCAGTACAGGGTGAGTCAATATTTTAAAACTATCACTTTTTCCTTTTTTTTTTGATAAATTTTCTGCGTTTTTAAACAGCTCCATTTATGAATAACAAGAGAGAACTTTTTTTTCTTTCAAAACACTATATTTATTATATCGAATTATCGATACTAAATTTTAACACATTATTTTTACTGATTTAACAAGTCCTTAACAGTGTGGCACAGCTTTTTCCAACCATATATTTATATGCAATATTTTATATACCACAGCATTGTAGTAGGCGTTTCAGCGAACTATGTAGTGTGTAATAATAGTCTATGGAATATAAATTGAATAATTTTCTTTATTGAACTATAATCTGTTGTTCCAGGAACCAGTACTACTCGAAGAAGATTAAAATTGAATCAAAAGGTTTGATTATTTAAAACCATTAAAATTATAGGTTTCTCTCAACTTAATTTATTCTTGAAGTCAATATTATGATCAGAAAAAAGAAAAAATGGAGGCGTTGCATCTATGACATTTTTCAATATCTCAGTAAATAATGGTGTTAGCCGGTTCTACTTTTGCATGTATATATTCATCTGATGCTCTAGGAACAGGATATGACGTCAAATCTTCAATGTCTCCGTTCGGAGACCGGAGATATGTGATAAAGTACCTCCGTCGGCTCAGATTTTTTATCTCCGGCCCTTATGAACTTACAGAGCCCAAATTCAACATAAATACACCTAAAAACCTATATAATTTAATATAAAAAAATTTCGTTTTTTTCTTGTAAAGACAGTGTGTCAAAAAAACGGCATTTTTCATTTTTTTTAAAATGTCTTTTTTGGGGGTCTTCCGATAAAAAATAACGAAAGAAAAAGGGTACAGAAAATGTTTTTAAAACTATTATGAATCTTTTTTAGAAAAGGCTGTTTTCAAAAAAATTTTAAATTCTTTTGAGTTTTACTATCAATAATAGTGTTAGCCGGTTCTAATTTTGCATGTATACTGTATAGTTTATACTCATCTGATATTTCATCAAGCCTATACCCCCTTTCATTTTTCGCGAACACTCCCTTTAAACCTCAACTCAAACCTTAACCTAAACCGTAACTTAAACCTTAAATTAAACCTTAACTTGAACCTTAACTTGAACCTTAACTTGAACCTTAACTTAAACCTTAACTTAAACCTTAACTTAAACCTTAACTTTAACCTCAACTTAAACTTAGAACAATGAAAATATAACATATAAAATTGAATCTTGAACCTTAAACCTTGAACCTTGAACCTTAAACCTTAAACCTTTAACCTTGAATACTAAACCTTGAACCTCGGATCTTGGTTGTTAGATCTCGAACTTGGATCTTAAATCTAGAATTGAATGATAATACTAATAATAATTATATTAATATTCAGGATCTAGGGCAGGGTCTGGAAGATACCCTGCTCCCTGTTGCCTGGAGATTTGTCAATGATTCCTTTAGAACTGATGTTTGTCTTCTCTATCCTCTCTCTTGCCTGTCAACATATGGCATCAGTACTACACGGTTAGTATTCCATACCTACCTAGTTTATCCTGTTGTACATCTCAGTATTACACGGTGAACACGCTCACCTGGGAGAAGCCTCTGTAGTACGTAGAAGAGACCAAGAGGGGAGGAAGGAAGGAAAGAGGCAGGTGGACCATAACCCAGACCTGAATTAGGGTTAAGGACACCACCTAGAGGGGGTTTGCATGAAATCCTGAAAAGTAAGATAAGTAGGTAGCTGGCACGGGATAGAGGTGAGGTAATATCTAAGCTATAATGATAGCATAGATAGGGGAGTAGGGAGGTAATAAGTAGGAGTAGGAAACCTCTAAACCGCATCACAGCATAGCTGAGTCCAAACGCGCAGCAACCTACCATTCCTAAAGTAGAAGTCAACAGTTGAGCCCAAGAACTAATGAGTGTCTAGAAATGTCCGTGAGTATTTTGTCTCCGAGCAAATCATCGGCAGTCGGATTATTGATCCAGAGTAGTAGTGATGGTGGAACCCAAGCTTGATTTAAAGGTAGGTTCAACTGGATTCTATTATTAATTTCCCAGAATTTTGGAAAATTAGCCTTTGACAAAGCATCTGCCATAGAAGCTAATGGTGTTGAACATCNAGGCTCTAAGCCACTTCGTGGTTGAAGACATTATGGTTGGAAATTCATCTTTGTCAATGCCTTCGTTAACACAATTGCCCAAAGGTGAACTAAGGTTCAGGATGATTCTAACTGAGCCGTTAGGCTTCGGCTTTGTCATGATGCCATTGATTTTTGCTGTGGCTGGTATCTCATCAATAGGTACAGGACCGTGTGCAAACCCTTTGTTTAGCCAATCAGCGATAGCATCTGAAACATGTGGTGCAAACTCGTAGGCACTAGGGGCATTGGTAGAGAAGGAAGGGGTCCTAGATGAGCCTTTGCAACCAATGTCTGCGCCTCCTGTAAGGTCTATATAAATCTTATTTAGAGTAGAGCTGTCTTGGAACCCCGTTTCTAGTGCTAGCGCTCTCAATTTGATTGGATCAACTAAGGATTTGCATAAAGGTTCGTAATTAGTAGGAAAATTATCCCAGTACGAATTGTGCGGCTCTGTTTTATAGGATTGTAAGATAGGTAGGTTGTATTTTGGCTTGAATGTTTTCATAGGAGGTAGTTCAGGAATTGGTAGAGTCATCTCATGTCTTAATAGTTCAAGCAGGTTTAAGTGGAAAGAAATGGTTTGCAGACTGATTTCTAAAAGTATTAATATTGCTAGCTAAATTAGGAAAACAAAAGGCATGATATGTTGTTAACAGATAATTATAATTAATATGTGTAGCAGAATTGTCATTAAACCCGACGCAGAAGGTTTGCGTGTTTATTTAGGTTTGGTAGAAATATTATGCGGAATTTGCCTCGTATATTGATATTAATATTGCGGCTAAAACAGGAACAAAAGGCATGATACCCTATAACAGGGAATTTTTAAGTGAATAGTGTAATATTTTGCGGTATTTGCCTCGTATATTAATATTAATATTGCGGCTAAAACAGGAACAAAAGGCATGATATGCTATTAACAGGAAATTTTTAAGTGAATAGTGTATGGTAAAGTGTAATAAAACTCATAAATTATAATAAATACGTCTAACAGATCTATCACTAAAACCAACGCAGAAGGTTTGTGTGTTTTTTAAGATTTGGTAGAAATAATTTGCGGCATTTGCTTTGTATACTGTAAACACGAATACAAATGTCGTCTTATTAGTAAGTATAAATGTCGTCATAGTAGTTTCTTAGTGGGAGAGAATTATATGTCATTTAAGAACCATAAATGTTGAAGACAACTAATTTATGAATATTGAAAAGGTTACACTAAGGATCGTGATACTGTTTAATATTTCCGGTTTGAATGTCTATGATAAATAATTTCACCATTAAGTGTATAAAATGCATGTAGTAATTCAAGTATGTTAAATAATTCCACTAACAAATTATTATTATAAAATGTTAGTAGTAATCCTAGTACGCTAAGGACGTTATTAATCTAGGATTTATCTAGTCTGAATTAGCTAGTTTAATACAAGGTGATTGACGAAACATTACATCGATTTTTTTCTTTTGTTTTTTGAGTTTTGAAATAAATTTAAAATTGACTATGATATGAATTATATTGACCTCTGGTATCGAGACAAATAATAAATTATGGAATAAGACAGAATAGATTATGATCAACCAAAAAGTTTCTTGGGACACCGAGTAGATAAAATAAAAATGTGCAACAGTTCATTTTGAGTACACTAATATCATTTTTTTTAATATTAAATTTGTAGACGTTGACGCACATAAGTAAAGATATAAAGTCTTATGCCAAAGGAAACCCCTGCATTAATCCATTAAACCATTAATCTATTAACAGTTAGTAAAAAAATAAAAGATATGTTTATTGATATGAAAACCATATATATAAGCGATTAAGCATAATGAGATTAAATGAGTGAAAAATTAACATTGATAATGAATAGAATGAGATTTTTAAAGAAACCCGATAAACTGAACATATAACATATAATTTAAGGGTAACTGGAAAGCTTGAAAAAATAGTTGCAACTGCTAAGATTATAAGTTTGAAATTCTATGTTTGACGAACCATTAATCTATTAACAGTTTGTAAAAAAATAGTAGATATATTTATTGATATTGAAACATATGTATAAGTGATTAAGCATAATGAGATTAAATGAGGAGATTAAATGAGTGAAAAAATTAACATTGATAATGAGTAGAATGAGATTTATAAAGATAACCAATAAGCTCAACATTTAACATATAAGCGATTAAGCATAATGAGATTAAATGATTGAAAAAATTAACATTGATAATGAATAGAACGAGATTTATAAAGAAAACCAATAAGCTCAAGGATGTAGTAGTTCAGTGTCTAAAGGCCGCCCTGGAGTGACGTCCTAGACAGTAAGCTTGCTTGGCATCGAGCCATTTATTGCACAGATGTGCAAATTCTCGGCCTCTTTGATCTTTGCAACCTGTAGCTGAGCCATGGTTCCTGCAATGGCCGCTATTAAAATTGAAACAAACAGGGGTAGAGCCGATCATTAAGACTTTAGGTTTGTTCTGGTTTTGGTTTCCTGAGACAGGGATTGTAGCACGTATTGGAGCGGATCTAAATTTGTCAGACTCTGAGCGGTTTATGCGTCCCGTAGGAACAGCACTACTGAAACCCGAGGAGGTGAGGATATTCTTGAGAGTCTCTTCCTGTTCTTTGAAGTCCATAGGTACAGCTCTGCGTCCGGCTCTAGCAGCATTCTCCCGTAGTATAGTGTTGAAGAATGTAGACACTAGGTTCACACGTTCAGAAAGGGAATTAGCACAAGGAAAATAGTTATATTTGTTTACTAATCTGAGGATGATGAGGCCTGTCTGATCAAGAGGCCACAAGTGAAGGAGTATGGTGCAGTAGTTGAGCAAGGCGTCGGAAACTTGGGATAGATTGGTCGGCGCTTCCCAGTTGAAATCTAAAGAAGAAGTGATTCCGGCTTCGTCACGTTTTTCTATCTTCTGAATAGGTTTAGATCCAACATTTATATTTCCTGAGTGGAACTGTTTAAACGATAGTACCTTGGTCCGGTCATGCATCTGTTGTATTGTGCGGAGAGTGACCTTATTGTGAGTACCGCTGTATTGAAGAGGTAAATTCTTATACTGGTGGCTGCGCACACGTGGGACTTTTTTCCACCAGTCCTTGATATCTGCTAAAGGGAACCTTTCGAACCTGGCAGGATGCAGCTTCTTGAATCCATCATCCTTGGCTTCTGGGTATTTAATTGCTAGAGGCTTTTTATCCCTGGTGTAAGAGGAAGTGAGGTCAGATTCCACAGCCTTGGTGTTGTCTCTGTCAAACTTGGCAAGTTGGAGTAGTTGGTCCATAGGCATCTGGTTGAACTTGGACTTGTTTTGTAGGGCAATGGGACGCTTCTCCACTGGCCAATAATTATAGAGGATGTTCCAATTGCTGCCTGGGTCCTCGTCATCGTCGTCAGAGTCAGTGGAGGACTGGTCGGAGTCGTCGGACGAAGAACTAGCTGAGCTAAACACAGGAGCTGCAGTACCACTCTTCTTCTTCTTCTTTTTTGATTTAGATTTACCAGAGTGCCGACTCCGTTTGCTTGCACTGAATATAGAATAATAAAAACCATGAAGATTTGCCGATGTAAGTAGTTGTGATAGGTTTAATATACCATTAATCATTCTCATTTGTTAAGAATTGTGTTACGGGGTTAAAAATTTAAAGAACACAGAACCCCCCCCCCCCCTTAAAATGTTGTATTTGTGCTGCTGGAAGAGTAAGCGGAGATGAAACATAATTAAGTTAGAAATTAACTAACCGGTTAGTCTGGTCATGCTTAGATGTAGCATTGGAGAGTTGGTTCTGAGTATTATCACGACTAGAAGTAGTCTTTCTCTTTCTGGCAAGAGGTGGTCTGACAAATCTACCTAGGAGGAAATAAGTTCGGTATATGGATAATTATTTGTTTTGGGTAGAAGTAGAACGTTAATAATTAGCAGTATTCAGGTATAGGGAGTTATATCACCAAATATAAATTAATTAAACATAAATTGGATTTTTTAGTTTACCTATTTCAGAGATGAGATTTGTACGTAGTTGATCCGTGTTGGAATATATATCAGACATCTGTTCATTCTGGTCAGGAATATGTTCAGAACTGTCGGAGTTGTGCTCAGAATAGGCGGATTGTGCTTCTGATTCCAGGTCTGAGTAATGTCCAGCATCGTCTTCATTTGTATTCCCATCATTATCAACATCATCATAGTCATCGTTAGAATTGCCTGTAAAAATAATTCTAAATGAATGAAGTTATATATGTAAAATTAAACTAGCAGGTAAAGTCTGAATAAATGCGATTTAAAAAAAAAAAATTGTAAATGAAGTCACAGATGTATATGCAATTAAATATTGAGGTTGCCGAGGGCTTGGGCCATGGCTTTACGCTTGGTTCTAGGAAGCTTAGTGTACAGTAGGAAAGCTCTGCTGGACCATCTGCCTATTGATTTGATATCAGAGTTAGAGTAGCCCATTGATGCTAAGATAGTAGGTATTCCGGCTCTAAAAGAGTGTCCTGACACCGAGCAGGTGCTGAAGTCGATGCAATCCTTCAACCAGTGTCTTAGTTTTTTATTAAACAAAGCTGGTGTTAGGTTTTTGCCTGAGAAAAGTCTGAAAGCAGGCAAGTTAGGTGTGGGTCTGCATAGGTTAATTAACCTGGTATATGCCCTGACTGGGCAAATATCGCTGCCGGTAGGGTATATATCTATCACAGTAGGTGTAGTAGGACAACACTTTGAGGAATTGATGGTAATCTTCAAAAAAGACGAAGAAACCCTATTGATTATAGCAGAGTTGAGAAATATGTGCCGACCAAGAAGAGTATAGTTTGGATCAAAAAGATTTGAATGCCGAGTGAGTAGTTCACCTATTCTAAAAGAACCGTGGAAAGCAACTACACACAGGAACCAGAATAAACGTTTGTCGTAGAAGGTAAGGTCGTCTTTGTTAATTGCATTTTTAAGTATTCTGAGCAGAGTGGGAGTGACTGGTATTCTGACAGGTTTAGTTGTTGGTTTTACAGCATCAAGATTCCTTTTCCCCATAAGGATTTGAGTTACCATATCAGATCTGAGATGAGGTACATCATGACCAAGGGCAAGATGTACCTGTCTGAGGCCAGCAATGTAGGAGTTGATAGTAGAGACAGATAGATTTCTTTTTGCCAGCCATCCGATAAAGGTTATGATGGTAGGCTGGGTTAAAGGAAAATTAACATTGTTATCAAAGCATTTGAGGAGCATTTTGTGAGAGGTTTTATAAGTACTCCAGGTACTCTTAGATAAAGAGTGGTTTGCTAGATTGCTAAGTAAGGTGCAGAGTTCGGAATTTGTAGTGAGTTGGTTAAAAGAGTTGATGGAGAAAAGGCCATTAGGACCATATTTAGTTGAGCCCGGAATAGCGGCAGGAATGGCCGGCGTCAGGGTCCGTGCTGAAACAAGAGACTTAGTAGCTAAGTTGCCCAACAAGACAAAATATATAATCCACTACGGGAAAAAGTAAAGAGAATGTACCTATAGGTAAATTTCCATCTGAGGGAAAGTGTAGAAAATATGAATAAAACCCTCCACCAGGGGAAAGTTATAAAAAAAAAATATGAATAAACCATCCACCAGGGGAAAGTTATAAAAAATATAAGTTAAATTTAAATAAAATAATATATTTAATATATAAAATAAAATAAAATTCATTAGTGGAAGACTGTAAGATAATGTTAGCTGGTAAATTATCATTCTCTAGGGTACAATATATATTGTACTCGGGAAAAGGTTTTAAATTAAAAAACTTTTAGTATAACCTTCTACCAGGGGAAAGTTTTGAACTAATGAGTAACATTGCCACTAGGGGAAATTATTATAGTTATGAGTAAGATATCCACCAGGGGGAAAGTGTTATAGTAAAGGGTAAAATTTCCAACAAGGGAAAAAGGTATTAGAGTTCAAACAGAGTTATTCACCAGGGGAAAGTGTTAAAGGTAAGTGCAACATTTCCACCAGAGTTATCCACCACAGAGTTATCCACCAGGGGAAAGTGTTAAAGGTAAGTGCAACATTTCCACCAGTGGGAAAGCAATATATTTAAAAGTAGGATTTCCACCAGGGGGAAAGAATTATAGTTAAAAGTAGGGTTTCCACCAGGGGGAAAGAATTATAGTTAAAAGTAGGGTTTCCACCAGGTGGAAAGAATTATAGTTAAGTGCAGCATTTCCACCAGGGGGAAAGCAATATAGTTAATAGTAGGATTTCCATCAGGGGAAAAAATTATAGTTAAGAGTAAAATTTCCACCAGGGGAAAAGAATTATAATTAAAAGTAGGATTTCCACCAGGTGGAAAGAATTATAGGTAAGTGCAACATTTCCACTAGGGGGAAATCAATATAGTTAATAGTAGGATTTCCACCAGGGGGAAAGAATTAAGAGTAAAATTTCCACCAGGGGGAAAGAATTATAGTTAAGAGTAAAATTTCCACCAGGGGGAAAGTATTAAGGTAAAGAGTAAAATTTCCACCAGGGGGAAAGTATTAAGGTAAAGAGTAAAATTTCAATTAAGGGAGTAAATCTTAGAAATATGGATAGAATAACAAATAGGTAGAAAGTGTTGGAGTAAATAAGTAAAGATTATCTAGAAGGTAAAAATAAGCTGCGAGAATTATAAAATGCAATGCAGCAATTAAACCGTTAAAATTGTAAATAAGAATAAAAGAAAACGTAAAGTTATGAGTAACAAATAGGTAGAAAGTGTTCAAGTAAATAAGTAAAATTATCTAGAAGGTGAAAACAAGCTGCGAGAATTGTAAAATGCAATACAGCAATTAAACCGTTAAATTGTAAATGAGAATAAAAGAAAACGTAAAGTTATGAGTAACATTAAAGTTAAGATAGCTAGCAATAATAAACCAACCTTGAGCAGGCAGAGCTGTAGGCGGGACAGTAGTAGCCGGGGGCCAGATCAGGGTTGGGAACTTAGGTTTAAAAGCACTAGGACCCTTCTCAAGTAATACTGCGTAGCGCTGCTTAAGGCCAGTGACATTGGCTTTAATTTCTGGGAGGATAGGTGACCTGAGTAGCTGTGATAAAGCGATATGTAGTCGTATACCAGACGGAACACCAGAGTCTTCGCTCCACTCGGATCCAGGGAACACTGCTGGGGCGAGGGGAAACCCCCAGGTATCGTTGATAGGGGAGAGTAGAGCAGGCGGGGCTAAGGAAAACTCGTAGTCCGCTAGCTTCAGGCCCGGAAAGTTCTGGTCCAGGTAGAGAGGGTTACTCGCTAAAACTGTTAAAGGGAACGGATAGATGAGGATGATAACTTTAGCGTAGCTGTCAGAAGTCGGATATACGAATAATCTGAGGCAGAAGGCTGACAAGCCAGTAGCCTGGTATAGGTTAGGAGGAACTATTTGGCCATTTTGAGAGAAACTGTACTGACAATCCTCCGAAGATAGATAGCTGGAGCAAAGTGTACCAGGAGGGAACGTGAAGATAGAGAGGTCTGGTATAGATAAAGTTAACTGAGTAGGGTTGACTGTTGTCCAGAAGGAAGCCGCATGGAATGATTTATTGTCCCAGAGACTGCCAATTAGGTGGAACGAGGCTTCCTCTACTCTAAGGTTGTCTGTGGAGAGAGTAACTGACAGGCAGCCAAGAGTTTTCTTGTTCCAGTTGACACTGGAAAGAAGTACTGAGCCGAAATCTTCGACACTGTCGACTGAGAGATCTTTCAGTACTTGTAGGGATAGATCCGCCGGATCAGAGAAACCAGTGTTGCTACGGATTACCGTCCGAGCTGGAGGCATGACTTTTGATAATAGCAGAAAGTAGTAGTAGGGTAACTTTGGGAGGTTGAAGGTAGACTGAGTGTAGGAGAGAGAGGCGGACACAGGTAGAGAGTAAGGAGGGTACACGTGCAGTACACATGTGGGACCGGGCCGCGTACAGTAATAGCAGTATATAATTGGGAGCAGAGGCTAGTCCAGAAGTCGTCTTCAACTTGTTTATCCTATCTAGACAATTCTTGTCAGTAGCCTAAACAACGATTAGTATTCCATATCTCCTTAGTTTATCCTGTTGTACATCTCAGTATTACAAGGTTAGTATTCCATATCTCCCTAGTTTATCCTGTAGTACATCTCCGTACTATATGGTTAGTATTCCATATCTCCCTAGTTTATCGTGTAGTACATCTCCGTACTCTATGGTTAGTATTCCATATCTCCCTAGTTTATCCTGCAGTACATCTCCGTACTAAACGGTTAGTATTCCATATCTCCCTAGTTTATCCTGTAGTACATCTCCGTACTATATGGTTAGTATTCCATATCTCCCTAGTTTATCCTGCAGTACATCTCCGTACTATACGGTTAGTATTCCATATCTCCCTAGTTTATCCTGTAGTACATCTCCGTACTACACGGTTATTATTCCATATCTCCCTAGTTTATCCTGTTGTACATCTCCGTATTACAAGGTTAGTATTCCATATCTCCCTAGTTTATCCTGTAGTACATCTCCTTACTACACGGCTAGTATTTCATATCTCCCTAGTTTATCCTGTAGTACATCTCCGTATTACAAGGTTAGTATTCCAAATCAAAATTTTAATGCTTTCTTTAATAGTTTGAATTTAATTCTATTTGGCATTTGGGTTAGTTTGAATTACCTGATCTCTCATCTCTCTCTTTATCATTATAATTATAATGATTATTATTATAACATAAAAATTTAGGAAAAGATCTTCGCTCCTGGTTTAGTGAGCTTAGTGTGGATATTGATAAAAAACAAGAGATCACCAAGTTATTCATTCATTCATTCATTATCATTTATTAACTCATTTATTAATTCATTCATTTATCCATCCTCTCATTCACCTATTCACCCTTTAACTCATTCATCCATTAACTCATTCATCCATTAAGTCATTAATCCTTTCCCTCATAAATTCACTTATTCATTCTTTCATTCATATATTCATTCATGCAGCTAAAATTTTGTTCTCAGATTTATCCATTCTTTCACTGATCAAAACTTCTTTTGATCTAGGAAGCTTATTTATTAATTTTTTATGCTTATACTCGTAATTACCGTCATTTCTTCTGATTTTATTAATAGTTCCTTTATAAATTTCTTGATTAATTAAACTATTTATATAAAAATTCAACTTATTTCACATTTCCTTTATCTATCTACCAGTGTTTAGGATCTATTTAATTTTGATGCGGATCCGGATCTGTATCAGCAATGAAATAAAAATGGATCCGGATCCGGATCCAGGTCATGCGAATTTTCAGATTTTTTGAACAAAAGAAAAGTTTTCAAATAATTTTCTTCTTTCGCCGCTGATTTTTATGATCAACCTTGATGAACCATACAGCAATAAGAAAAGTTTTTTTACAATCTCTCGTTTCAACAGTTTAGATTTGAATTTCAAGAGTAAAAAGTTTTTTTTTTTCGCAGTTTTTGATTTATATTTTGCCCCTTGCATCCTAAGCATTGCTATCTACTATATTTAAATAATGAATAATATAAAAGTACTTTTTTTGTTCATATCGTTTAAAACTAAGATTATTAAGATAATTGTTAAAAGTACATTTTTGTCCTTTTTACAGGTAGTAAAACAACATTGCAAAAACATTAAATTAAGTATGAAAATGCTGATTCTTAATTCCTGGGAATTTTAATTTAACATATTCAGCTTGGAAACTAGCTAAATTAATGCTGCACTAAATAAATGTAAGAAGTATTTTATCTTGTTTTTTTGTCATTAGATTTAGTTAATTTTACTTAAATATAATATAGTACAAAAGATCGCAATGTAGAATTTGTTCACTCTCAGTTCAGTTGTATTCTGACTTCAGAAAGTGTCAATCCAGTTTTTGTGTGACAAAATTATTTATAATAGTGATAATTTTAGAATAAAGTGCTTATCTTACAGTAAAATAAGTGCAATTTTATGTTTTTGTTTTTTGTTTTTTTGTTCTTACACTTTTTAATCTCGAAAAACATGTCAACTAATAGGAGAAAATGTTGTATTCCTTGTTATATTTGACACTTGTGACGTCGCATACAATTGGTCCATTTCTCTGTTGCCATCTATTGTACTTGTATCTATATAATAAAACAAGACATTTTTATATATGTTGTCCATAATGGCTGGACCGAAATGGCTGACATTTTTTGTGTACACTCAATGGTGACCAGGGGGAAATTTTATTTTCAAATTTTTTTTCCACAGGAAACATCTTCAGCTAGTAGTATCTAAAAGGATAAAACAAAGCTTTACTGGAAGGGACCCTTAATTTTACAAGAGTTGCATGTCTGACTCGCAACGGTTCCTTAGCTAGAAAACTATGATTTTCAGTTCAATTACTTTATCAAACTAATATGCAGATTTATGCACTAGATTTAGAGACAAGCTAAATTTGTTTCCTTTTTTAATTTAGAAAAATAACGATATCTTTCTTGTTATTTCTCAAATCAGATAAAGGTTGTAAGTGTACCATTGTCGATAAGGCAAATATCAATAAAGGGTTACGTTAAATTTCGTCGGCTGTCTCTTTAAGCATGTTATTGAATTAATGAACATGTTCAGGCACCTGTTGAACCTGTACGAACTGTGGAAGAACTATGATGAGAAGAAGGAGGTGGCTGGGATACTACAGAAAATGCCAAAACCTAAAACTCAAGCTCCTTAACCCAATTCCTGCTGGGGGGGGGGG